ACGAGAAATAGTAGGGCCTTGTGCTGCACCCTGAAACTGGTACTGGCTGCCCTGACCCGTAGTAGGGTAGTGAGGAGCATACTGCGTCTGTGGTTGCCCCACTGAAGTCTGAGATTGCGACGACCCATGACCCTGGGATCCCTGCCTCTGAGGACAATCCCTCTTCATGTGACCCGGTTGGTGGCAATGATAGCAAGTCCTCTGGCCAACCTGGTAGGAAGGTCTCTGATTTCTCCCACCTTGGGAGGATTGACTTTGGCCTTGGCCTTGATAACTGCGGTCTTGTACCTGAAATCCTTGTGGAGTAGAAGTCCTTTGCTTCTTCCTTGAGCTAGAAGAAGAGGATTGGCCTTCCTTCTTCTTGTCTTTTGCACCAGACTCCCGGATGCTCCTTGCGTCATCCACCTCTCTCTCAATGGCCAAAGCTGTGGTGACCATCAAGTCGAAGTCTTGTAGTAGAAGACCAACGATTTTACCCCGGATGGATAACTTCAGCCCATCCTCAAATTTTCTAACCTTGGCCATATCTGTGGCCACATATTGGTCAGCGAAACGTGCTAACTCAGTGAATTTAGCCACATATTCCATCACTGACATCATTCCTTGCCTCAGATCTAGGAACTCCCGGGCCTTTGCATGCCTCGCAGTCGCCGGGAAGTATTTCCCCATGAAAAGTTCCTGGAACTCTACCCATGTCATGGCCTCCAAGTTCTTGGAGTCTTTCACCCAATCCCACCATACTTGGGATTCCCCCTCCAACTGGAATGTAGCTAGAGTTATCCTGGTGGCGTCAGAGGTGATCTCCATTGCCCTCAAGATCTTGTCAACCTGCCGGAACCAATGATCAGCTACCATCGGGTCCGCCCCTCCCATAAAGATCGGCGGTTGATGTGCCTTGAACTTCTGGAGATGACTGGAGCCTCCTTGGCCCCCACTTGTACCCGTCTGTGCAATAGTAGCGGCCGTAGCACTAGCTTGTGCAATGGTAGCCGCCGCTGCACCAATAGCCTCCATGAAGGCTTGTTGGTCAAAGGCCGGTGGTGGTTGGTTGTTATTCTGCCTACCACCTCTGCCTCGGCCGCGTCCTCTTCCCCTTCCTCTATTTTCCATCTACACACATGTCAAATAGAAACAGAGCATTTACTTAGTATCCCAAGATAGAAGTCAAGTATTTAAACTTGAAGATTTTCCTCCTTGTTTCACTAGTAGTGCGTGTGCCACCTACTAGTAGACATTTACACATAAAACTATACCATTCATTCTTTTTTTTTTTTGAACCCAAGGTTATGTTTTCTAACCCTAGTGTTTGTTTTTTTTTTTTTTTCATGTGCCTTTTACCATGCATATCATTCACATAATCACCTAGCAAGTAATCATGTTTCACACAACACGTTGCACAAAACATGTAACAATTTAAGCACATAAGATGAGATGCACAATGCATGCAATGGTCTAGTCCCAATGCTCAACAACAAGCCTTAGGTAAATCGTATAACCGAGGCTTTGATACCAAGCTGTGACACCCCAAATTCATGGGGTCCGTTAATTTTCCATCAACCCATGGAATGCCCATAGATATCGTATAACTCGATATCGCACCGTTGTGTTCCATTTACCGGGATCCATAATTTAACGAAATCCGAGCAGAGTCTCCTTTGTACGGAAAGCTCTACCCCAAAACACAATCTGTGCAATCAACATTTACATGACCCATCCGAGGTCCAATATAATACCATAACCACACAGGGTCCATTTTATACGTAAAACTTGACCACACCGGGTCCAATCATCATATTTATATCAAAATATGCAAGGTTATATTAAAACAGTCCATATATACTCTATTACAATTCCTTTACACATTACATGCCAAAATTTAATTACAAATCTACTTTTACAAAAAAAAATGGATTGGAAGCCACAAGTCGACTTTTCTTCAACCATGTGACCCGGATTGTGAGCCGTCCATTGGTGCATGACCCACACCTGAAATGTTTCCCGTATAGGGTGAGCCAATGCCCAGTAGAATAATCCCTACAGAGGCTACTCATCACCTAAAATGCATATGCAATGTATAAATGCAACATTTCACAACAAGTATTCCCTCCAACAATAACATATAATACAATGTTGGAAAATCATGATGCCATGCCAAGTAATGAGATGAAACTCACCCATGCATGCTATCCCGAGCCCACACCGACTCCCACAACACAATGCGACACTTACGTGTAAAACAAACGTCTTTGATGAAACACATCCAAAGATCATTTTGAAATCAACCATATGTCATAAAACTAATTCATTCTTGGATGTTTCCCATCAAATGAATAATTTATATATCAAAATCATGTGCCTTTATGGGGTATCGGATTCAGGAATCGCACCTCCGGCTCCGTACGCCGTTACACTTTTCTGGAATTTCACCGCCGGTAAGTGTATGAACCAAGTGGTCGGGTTTTTCACCCGAGGGAGTGTCTAGCCCTACTTGCTATACCCGACACAAGTTTTCTTATGCATGTCACCGTGCGACTCCGTAGGACATTCCATCCCACTTTCCCGAGCCTACCATCAAGAACCAATGTTGGTGTTGATCACCCCATGCAACCCTACACCCACACTCATGCATGTAGCCCATGAATGTGATGTTAATTCCATGTCCATATTGCAATGCATGCCAAATGACAATTTTTAAATATCATTGTATACCATGACAATTAATATCATTTGCATATAATCACATAACCATTTCAAGTTCAATATATCCAAGAGCATATATCAACACTCCATCAACATGATAACACATAATACATGCTAATATTACATTTCATTCACAAGGCATAATATAAAACACAAAGCATGCCCACATGATCCCAATTTTCAAGGGATTACATAAATACTTCCATATACCAAAATCAAGCCAAGATTTTATATGGATCATTCAAACAAAATAAAAATCAGAATATATGATTTTTATATAACCAATTATCTAAACATTCAAGAAATCACAAACTAGCACTGTCTAACTACCAATTCACACTAGAATTGATCTTACCCATTTCCATAGCACCAATCATAATGGAAAAATATTTCTAATTCACACTAGAATTGATCTTACCCATTTCCATAACACCAATCATAATGGAAAAATATTAGAAATACCCAAAACAGCCCACATAAATCCTATGGATACCTTAGGTTAGAAATAGGTCCGAGTAGGAAGAACCCTACCTCTTGAAACGTAAAGAATTTGTAGGAAGCCTCAAGAACAAGATTGAAGCCCAAAGCTTAGATTTTTTAAAATCCTCCCTTTGAATCTTCGGTGAAAATCTTTGTTTTTGGTACCCACGCGTAGCTCTCGTCGCGTAGATCGACTTTAATTCTTGGCCCGACGAATTCCGACCGACGGAACTCCGAGAATCGGCCAAAGAAAGTTTGAAGAATTATATTTTTTTCTTCTTTGCTCTTGGGTCTGATCCAGCCGGCCAAATGAAGAGAAAATATCTGATTTTTCAGATATTTGCCCACTTTTATACTTTCTAAACACTTGGCCCTCGTCGCGCCAAGTGTCGTCCTTTGTCCAGGTCCATTTTCACCCCGAAACGATTAAATTTCGTACCGATTTAAGTTCAAAATATTTTATATGAACTTTATTTAAAATATTTTTTAAATTTTTAAATTTTTATTAAATTTTAAAATTTTTATAATAATTTCGTTTTTAGGGGTCATCAAACGCCCGTCATCTCGAAAAACGTGAAAAATCTGACTATCTCAGAATTCGACGGAATTTGTCTGGGTAACTAGATTTCGTGAGACGAATCCAACGGTGAGGTCCATTTCATCATCCGAGGTCTATAAAAATACCAATTTTTTTTTAAACCGCACTATAATGGCAAATTACCATTTTGCCATTTTTTTTCAGAAAAATTTAAAATTTTTCCTGGGTTTCACAGTCCCACAAAAACTTAAATATTTTTTGTGATTGGTCCAAAGCGACAGACTTCTGTCCAATTCCCTGAGGTTGACTAGAAACCTTACTGGTAATCTTGCTTGTGAAAGATGCAAGGCTTTAAATGAGAATACACTTCATATCCTGAGGGACTGCCCGAAAGCTGTATTGGTTTGGAATTCTTTCCTCAATAGAAATGATCTCCAACAACATCAATCCTTGGACCTGTATAATTAGCTCATTGAAAATTATAAAACAAGGAAGGATGTTCTTTGGAGAGGAGTTAAATGGCCTATTCTTTTTGCCTCTCTGTTATGGAACATTTGGAAAGAAATGAATCAAGAATGCTTGGGGAACACATTTAATCCCCCCAAGCCATTGCCAAGATAGCTTGGAGAATGGCTCGGGAATCTTGGGATGCTTTTAATGATCCCCAAACCTAAGGGAGACCAAACTACCCTAATCTTATTGAATGGTCTTTTCCTCCGGCAGGATGGATGAAGATGAATGTGGATGGAAGCTCTAAAGGTAATCCTAGCCCTGCCACGATAGGAGGCCTGCTAAGAAATGATCAAGGATGGTGGCAACTTGGCTTTTATGGCAAGATGAAAGACTCTACCAGCTTGCAAGCTGAATTGTGGGCTATTTTTCAAGGTCTCAAGATCATACATACACAGAAGATCAAAAGGTCATCTTGGAGACTGATTCATTGGAAGCCCTCAACCTAATCACTACTAGGTTGGAGGAGCTCCATCCGAAAGGAATATTATTGCCAATTGCAAGAACTTAATGGGATTGACTAATACTCCCATCGTTCGTACACTGAGAGAAGGAAACTTCTGCGCTGACAAGATGGCAAGTTTGGGAGGGCAACAAGAAGATTCTTTTGTATTTTTTTGAAATCCCACCGCCTATGTTGGGAAATTACCTTTTGAATGGCCTTTCTTGTATTTCTTTTGCTAGGGGGTTTAGATAACCCCTCTTACTTTTCCTCTGTACCAAAAAAAAGAAGGGAGGAATTGTATTGTTCTTCTTGATTTTAAGAGAGGAGATGGAGAAAGATCAAAATAAAGAGGGAAACATGGTAAGAGTAGAAGATCTTTGTGAAAAGGTTGAAATAATGATAGGCTCCTTTGGCGAGTGACTCCTCTCCTTTAATCGGCAGACTCTATTCTAGCATTCTTTTCTAAAGAAATTTCATCTCGGAAGAATTGAAGATGCTGAAGGTGATGGACTAACAATAGAAAAGTAGTCATTCCAGGATGGCATTTTAAATGGACCCTCAAATACTTGGTGTATTTCCTGAAAGTGAATCATAATAATGATATTTTTTGTATGTTATCTTTTTAATTCGTGCCGTAGGCCTTCTATACAGGAGATCTTTAAAGGGCTTTCTCGTAAACGTGAGTGGGAAAAAGAAAAGTAACCGTGCCAGGTAGCCTAGCTGGTGACAAGCAGTATATTTTTTTTTGTTAAAACAAGCAGTAGATAAAATCATACTATTTAGGAATTACAGAAGAAAAAGGAAAAAAAAATATATTTCTGATTTTTGTTGAGTCATCAGCTGTTATAATCATAGTACACTTATTCTTGTGGTGGGTGTACGACATATTTTTACGCATTGATCAAGTAGGGGCCATGTATAAAGCAAGCCAGCCAACAGCTAATTTAAAATGTGGTTAACTGGCACTGATTGCAGGTGTGCAACTCTGTAGCCATTTTTGTTGGCATTATCTGAGAGACTGTGCTTTCTTGAGTAGCGATTATGTGGAAAAGGCATTTACATCAAAGCACACATCCATTTGATCCATATCGTAAGCAATAACTCTCAGCCTCTTGTTTTTACTCTTTTCTTCCCTCTCTCTTTGTGCTTCTCTTTTCCTTCCATGGCATTAACATTAAATTTGCTTGATCTGTCTTTCCTAATTTTGGATATAACTAAAAATAAGTAGTGGATTTTGCTGCTTGTATGCTAAATGCAGCATGTAAATGAATTTACAAGGAAATTCTCACCCAAGTTATTGAATTTACTCTGTTTAAAGAACTTTATAAAGTCCAAACTGTCATTAAACCAGATAATTATGGACAGCATACCAACTTATGGTTGTTCAGATCAAGAGTCAGACTTTAATTTAGTTTGTAAATTATATATGTGAAGCGGCCAGCGTTCATACACAGTAATTTTCAATTTTAGGTTGTAATATGAATTGGCTATATGTTTGTTTAGTTGGTTTACCTAGTATTTAGTTTAATAAAGTTTCTTGAAATGCTCATTAATTTCTTTTCAGATTGTAAGATGGTCATTAATTTAACATGTCACCATAGTGCACAAAGCATAAATGAACAATTTTGGTGGACAGCTCGTTTGAATCTTTTCTGTCTCTGTTAACTACAAATACTAAATAGTAAAACTGGCTAGTTGCTTGTTCCAGTTCAAACACTTTCAGGCTATTGATTCAGGCCAGTTTCCCGTGATGTGTTAAATGTTGAATTTTTTAGTTACTGCTTGGTTTTATGTTGATGTGATTAATTGTTTTCTGTTGGATTTGTAAGATCAAATGAATTGGAAATTTCAAATGGCCTGACAAAATCGATGGTAGAACACAGAAACAAGGTAATGGCAATTATTCCTGAAAATAAACTACTTTCATGGAATGGGTATAGACTAACAATGAATTCGCTCAATGCTTGAGCTTTAAGTATTTAGCTCATCAGAGGATATCTGTTTCAGCAGCTACAGAAAACAAAGAGGAAGAAATACATATTAGATGGTTTCTAAGAGCTCCATAATTCATCTTTCTACATTTTATATGTGCAAATGTTTTGTCTCTAGACTTCTGATTTCTTTGTTGATATGTCATCTGACAGCTTTTGAGACATTTTTGTGCGGCTCATGGCAGACTGTGGAGCGTTTAAGAATCAGGGATGGGGCTATAAACATGCATGTGGTGGGTAACGGAGAGATAGTTGAGGAGAATATTCCGATGTCAACCCTTCGAATAAGGTCAAGAAAAGCAACTTTGTCTGATTGCACCTGCTTATTAAGACCAGGAATTGATATTTGTGTGCTCACAACCTCTCAACATACAGAAAATTCAGAGGAAGAGAATACTGTGGAGCCTGTAAGTCCCTATTTATTTCCGTTTGATGCAAAAAATACTTCATCTTTCGTAACAATGGGTCTTTTGACAGCTTCATAATATTGTCAATGAGTTGAACTACTTCTACTTCGATTTACATCTCATTGATAGGTAATATGTTGCGCAAAACTTGGTTCCCTTTTGTCCTCACATGACATCTTCAGATAATACTACTCTGCATGACACTTTCTTGTTTCTTAAAATTATGAGTTATTAGTCTGCTTGGCAGGGGGGGCATGTGCTGTTTGTAATTGTGTTTGGTCGGTTTGCGTGAGTTACATTAATATCCTAGGTTAATTCCTGTCTTTCTGGCAATCACTACCAAGTTTATTTTTTCTCCTTTTTTTAAAAGTTTTTTCACGGGTAGAATGTGGACCATTTTATGTTATGTTCTTTTGCACAATAGAGAATTTGCTGCTGGGTCGATATTCATTTGATAGTGCAACTCGAAAGTAAAAGTTTCCTTTGGGCACTCCTGATAAGTTTCTATTTCTTAAATTCCATGATTATTTGTGGGGGTATATGGATATGTGAAATCTGACCACTTAAAGAACTCCTTTTTTCCATAAAATTCTTCCACATGTCCAACAGTTCAGAAAGTGATTTTTTTTTCCTTTTTGTCACTTGATTCTCTAGGCATGTTTTGTCTGCCACCTTGCTGAAATTACTTCACAAATGAGTCGGCTTTTATCAATATATATGTTTGATTTTGCATAGATTCGGTTGCTTTCAGAATGATATTGGTTATTCTAAGCTTATTCACCTATTCTCTTTCTGATATAGGTCTGGATTGATGCTATGATAAGTTCTGTTGAGAGGAAGCCTCATGAGGTTGAATGTGCTTGTCAGTTCTATGTTAACTTCTATCTCACCGAAGGCCCTGCTAGTATGACAAAGAAAACACTTAAAAAAGATATAAACATAGTGCAAATTGATCAAATTTCCATTATTCAAAAGCTTCAACGAAAGCCCTGTGAGGATAAGCACTACCGTTGGAGCTTCTCTGAGGATTGCCCTGCATGGCAGACGTATAGACTGGTTATGGGAAGATTTGCCTCTGACCTTACATGGCTGCTTGTTGCATCTGTTTTGAAGCAAATTGTATTTGATGTAAGATCCATAAAGAATCAGATTGTCTATCACATTTGGGATGGTTATGATAAGTCTCCACCAAATTCCATGATCCCGTTAATTGCTATTAATTTCAGGTTAGAAAATGAAAATCTGACCCCAATCCTTATCAAATTTGTTCCAGTTCATACTCTTGTGGAGGGACCTGCAGGTGAAACATGTGAAGATGGATCATTGTCCTTTTATGATCTCATGGACTTGCGGCGCTCTAAGCGTCGACATGTGCAACCGGAGCGTTACTTGGGTTGTGATTCTCCATATTTGGATGTTGACATGGCTCGTATAGGAATACACAAGACATACAAACGGGAATATGAGGACTCAATCCAGGATGATCATGCATGTCCTTCAGAAAAGCATGTCAAGGGTGGAAATAGGGTCAATTTTTATAAGAGAAGTCTGCTTGAGAATTTTCTTGTATTCCAAAGTAAGCTCAAATCAAAGGGTGAGGTATCTAGTGTAGTCAGTCAAGGAGAACATACATCAGTTGCCACTAAACAAGGGGAACATCATTCTCAACTTCCTAAAGTTCCTTTGCGTCAGCCTGTTGAAGAAAGTGATTTAAGTGTCCATAAACATCCTCTTGATGCTGAGATTCCCGAAGATCATTCAGGAGAGATCGGTAAAATCGTTTCCAACTGCATATACAGAAATCATTCCCCTGCAGTACATGGAAAGGAACCTTCTGAGGACAACTTTATGGTGGTGGATGATATAAGGGAGCGGGAAAATTCAAATAAGATATGCTGTACAAAAAGGAAGAACTCTACTTTTTCAGAGAGAAAGAACATCTATGATGTAGGAAATTTTACGAAGGGAAATTTAAGTTCAAATGTGTACAGGGAAATGATAAGAAGATGCATGAAAAACATAGACTCCTCAATGAAAAAAGAACAGCCATTGGTGATTGATCAGTGGAAAGAGTTTCAGGCAACAAATTCGAACCAAAGAGATTGCACTGAGGAACTCTCAGTCACGACTGAAGATGAAAGTTCAGAAATTGAAATGTTGTGGAAGGAAATGGAACTCGTCATGGCATCAACTTATTTTCACGAAGAAAGTGAGGTATGATTTCCAATTCTTTCTCTTATCTGGTTATAACTTGAGCAATGATTGACAGATTCCCTTATCTGTTGCTGGAATGTTTTATGTTGGATTTGTCATCTGTCCTTTATAATGCTTAGAGTTTGGTTTTGGATAATAAATATAAGATTGGGACTATTAAATAATAAAATTGACTCATTGCAGATTGAAACTACTTAGCTAGTATGGGCATCAATAGTTTTCGTTGCTTGCATATTTGGATTGTTCATAGCTGATGTAATTCCAATAAAATAATTTTCAGGGCTCACATGTTGAAGGCCCTGCTGAAGCACAAATATCAAGCAAAGAAAGTTGGCGTGTTTGTCGGCATGAATACAAGCTCAACGAAGAAATAGGAGTTCTGTGCAAGTTTTGTGGCTTTGTGAGCACTGAAATAAAAGATGTCCAGCCTTCTTTTGTAAGTCAAATTTGGTAATTAGGAAGTTGAGTCTTTCCCATAAGAGAGACCTTTTAAATAAACCATCAACGCCCTTTCATGTGATAGTGCCATGCATGTGTGTAATCTGCCTGGCAAGAACTTACATATCCAAAGTGGAAAATTAATTTAGAACAAAATAAATGATTCTACAATTGGTTGATCCCTTGATAGGTTTCTACCCGCGCATTCAGCATATACCTTTTAGTGGTTGGATAGCATTTAAATCCTTTACCCCTTGAGTAATCTCTTGTTTATTTCTATAGCTGCCACGGATGAGATGGGACAGATACAAGGAACGAAGAACTGAGGATGATTCAGAGCATAAGCCTAATGATGATGGGGGCCTTGATGGTTACAGCAATCCTGTGTCCTCTAACACGCCCTTTTTGGAAGGGGAAGACAATGTGTGGGCCTTAATACCTGATCTTAAAGGTAAATTACATTTCCACCAAAAAAGAGCATTTGAATTTCTGTGGCGAAACATTGCTGGTTCTTTAGAACCAGCACACATGAAACCAGAAAGCAAGAGAAGAGGTGGTTGTGTTATCTCTCATTCCCCTGGAGCTGGGAAAACCTTCCTCATTATCACATTCCTTGTGAGCTACTTGAAGCTATTCCCACGATCACGGCCTTTGGTCATTGCTCCAAAGACAGCACTCTATACCTGGCACAAGGAAATAATCAAGTGGGAAATTCCTGTTCCAGTTTACCAAATCCATGGTAATCAAACATTCAGAGGTGAAGTCTCAAGGCAGAAATTGAAATTACTTCCAGGGATCCCTCGTAATTTAAATGTTATGCATAGTTTGGACTGTCTAGAAAAACTACGGAAGTGGCTTGATCATCCAAGTGTCCTTCTCATGGGCTATAGCTCGTTCCTAACGTTGACTCGAGAAGATTCAAAGTATGCTCACAAGAAATACATGGCCCAAGTTTTGCGGCAAAGTCCAGGGATTCTGATACTTGATGAAGGGCACAACCCAAGAAGCACTAAATCAAGGCTAAGGAAGGGTTTGATGAAGGTCAATACAGGATTGAGAGTTTTGCTCTCAGGTACTTTGTTTCAAAATAATTTTGGTGAATATTTTAACACCCTCTGCTTGGCAAGACCAAGCTTTGTCAATGAGGTGTTAAAGGGGCTGGATCTGAAGTTCAAGACGAGGAAAAGAGGTGCCAAAACATTCTTTTCTCTAGAAAATCGAGCAAGAAAATTCTTCATTGATAAAATTGCAAAGAAGATTGATTCAAATGTAGCAGAAGAAAGATTGCAGGGTCTAAATTTGTTGAAGAATATGACGAGTGGCTTTATAGATGTACATGAAGGTAGTCATTCTGACAAACTTCCTGGTTTACAGTGTTACACATTAATGATGAAGTTAACTGCCTTTCAACAAGGGATTCTGGAAAAGCTTCAGAATCAAAAACGTGTTTACAAAGGATTTCCACTAGAGTTGGAGCTTTTAATTACTCTTGGGGCGATACATCCTTGGTTGATCAAAACCACCGCAAATGCAATTCAACATTTTAGTACGGAGGAGTTGGAAGCTCTTGAGACGTCCAAGTTTGATCTGAAGATAGGTTCAAAAGTGAGATTTGTTATGAGCCTTGTTCCTCTGTGTTTCCTCAGGAAAGAGAAGATTCTAATCTTTTGCCACAACATTGCCCCCATTAATCTCTTTCTCGAGATATTCCAGAGATTCTATGGCTGGCGAAAGGGTGAAGAAGTTTTGGTCCTTCAAGGGGAACTTGAGCTCTTCGAAAGAGGAAGAGTAATGGATAAGTTTGAGGAGCCAGGGGGTGTATCAAAGGTAATGCTGGCTTCCATTACAGCTTCTGCTGAAGGCATTAGTTTGACTGCAGCATCTCGGGTGATCCTATTGGATTCGGAATGGAATCCTTCGAAAACCAAGCAAGCCATTGCTCGAGCTTTTCGGCCTGGTCAGGACAAGGTTGTGTATGTTTATCAGCTCTTGGCTACTGGCACACTGGAAGAAGAAAAATACGGTAAAACGATGTGGAAGGAGTGGGTTTCCAGTATGATGTTCAGTGAGGCACTTGTGGAGGACCCTTCTCATTGGCAAGCCCAAAAAATTGAAGATGAATTGTTGAGGGAGATAGTTGAGGAGGATCGAGCTACATTGTTCCACAAGATAATGAAAAATGAGAAGGCTTCAAATTGGGTTGATAAGAGGTAAAGTATGACCTTCCTCTGATAACAAGGTAATGTAAATATCTGTTCAGACCATAACCCTTTTGCCTACATGTAAAGTTTGTAACTTGATCCTAACTGTTTCTTGCATGAATCGTTGCCTAAATTTATGGGCGAAATCGTTGCCTACATGTAAGGAACTTGAATATTGTTCTTTTTGTCTGGTGCAGGTTCATTATTCAAGTTCCTTATTAATTTAATAGTCAAAATATATTTGATTATTCAAATTAATATAGTATTATTGTTGGAAAAAATGTTTAACATGATAAATGTCACATCGTGTACAATACCCAAACGGAAAAGAGTAATATTACACAATTCAAATAAAATTCAAGAAGTTTTAATTGAAATACATATAATTCCTTAAATGAATGAGTCTCACAAACTTTTTCAGTGGGATTCACTCATCTTATTTTTATCCAATGAATGATATGCAGTTATATTATATTTTTTTGATTTTATTCGGGTTGTGTATTATTTTTCAACGGAAAAAATGAAAGAAAATCAAGAGAAATTAGATGAAATAAAAAGTTATTAATTGGTCTAATGATAATGAGTAAATTAAATTTTACTTTGTTGAATTATTATTTTTGTTTTGTTTGGTATTGTCAACTATAACATTTCTCATATTGCATAATAAAATATCAATTTTGTTTTATATCACTCTAATAAATAACGATAAATTTGAAAATTTGTCAAACGAGGGAGGAAAACTCCAAGGTCTTGTTTGGATGGATTTTTGAGGAAGGTTTGGATTGGTTTTCCTAAATCCTTCTGAACCAAAATTTTTCTTTATAAAGATGAGATTAAACATAATTAAATTCGATCTATACCCATATTTGGTATGCGATACATATACATGTAAGATTTATATATATATCATAATTATTAACAATTATTTTTCTTATAAATAACTATTTTATTTTTTGTCATTCTAATTTATACTCATGTTAAGGGGTATAATTGTCTTTTGTATATTTAATCTCTTAACTCATCTTCTCAAACTTACCTCTCCTTTAGGTTTAACGAAACTCATGATCATGAGTTTAATATTTGGGACAATTGTGGGTCGGATTTGGGAATACCAGATTAAATTTTCAATTCAAACATGAGGTTTGTGGGTCTTATGGACTATTTTTCTTAAACTCATCTTGTCAAGCCTTTTTTAACCCTTTTACCAAACAGCCCCCAAAGGTTTCCGTCAAGTGTCTAGTATCATTTTATTTTATCTCTTTTGTAATCAAATGATTGTTGAGAAGAAAAAGAAGATCGGTTAGAGGAAGAAAATTTAGAGTTTAAGAAGAGTAAAGTCATAGATGAATATTTTTCTTGATTATTGACTTGCACATATACAATAAATAGATAGTTACAATCGACAGTTACTTATTGACAATACTAACCATTCACTGCATATTTACTATCAAAAAATTGAGAGTCGTTATTTATTGGAGTGATGCGAAATAAAATTGATACTTTAAGGTATAATGTAAGAAATTTTATAGTTGATGGTGCAAAATAGAACAAAGGTAACAGTTCAAGGTGATAAAAAATAATTTACCCAATGATAATTGCCCCTGATTGTTGAACTTTAAGGTAGAAGGTTTGAATCTCGTCACCCTTTTTTCTATAATAGTGACTGGCTCGAAAAAAAAAAAGAAAAAGGCAGATCAAGTAACAGATGTATAGATAGCTGCAAATGGAAGCTGAAGTAGTGAATGCTTAATGAAAGGTGAATTTGCATAAAACACGGCCCAGTTTGGCATTGGCATTAGAGACGACTTTCAAATCTCTTCATTTCTTTTCTTTTCTCTTCCATCCCTTTAAAGTCTTTCAAATAAATGCTATAGCTTTCTCTTCCATTTCCTTTCAGTTTCTCTCTCTTAATCTTTCCATCCAAACAAACTGGTGATTAAAAAGATAAGTAAGAATAACAACTTAAGACATAGACATGCATATATAGTTACCATATTATTTTGTGGGGGTGGAGAGAGAGATAGATAGAGAGAGAAGAATCTATAAAACCTGAACACTGCTTTTAAACAAAAAAATGCGTGCCATATGTAATGGATCAGTATTGGCATCATGGCATGCAGCTTCTTCTTTTAACGTTGTGCAGTACCACCATTTGCACCTCAGAAGCAGATTGTTGGACAGTGATGGGAATCCAATTAGTTGTGGAAATTACTCAAGATACTTTGTATCAGGACCTGCCATATGATCTGGGTGTTAGTCATTGAATAGTTTATAGGTTTTTTTTTCTTCCTTTTTTGAAAAAGGAAACTTTTTTTCTTTCGTGTCTCTTTGGTATATCCTTATAACAGCTTAGTGAGATCAGGATGCTCTCAATTATACTTTCGTTTAATTTTATTTAATAATAGATTATTTGCAGTGTGCGGATAAGAAAACCACTTATAAATAGTGGGTTCCACTTGAGGCGTTTCTACCTATCATTTGTCATCATCTTTCACTAATGTATTTCTAGGAGATAATCCGAGTTTTGACAAGCCAGGGAAACACGAGTGAGATGTAAATTTCCATGTTTTGAGTTTTTGGTTGCAATTATGATTGTAATTTGGGGTGAATCCCCATTAAAGAAAACAAAACAAAACAAAATAAAACTGCTTGCGTTGCACCATGAAAACAGTGGGCTGAAATTGGAAACAAGAATCTCACCTTCAGACATTCAAAATATTTAAATATTCAAACTATTTAATCACTATATTTTTTTTTATAAATATTCGAACTATTTAAGCCAATTTTTTTTCTTAATTTTTCACATATTCGTGCTACTTCTACGATTTCATGAATGTACTCCTTCCTAATTGTTTCCTTTACAAAAAAAATGTTACTAACAAGAATCTGAATCAAAATTTGTTCTTCGTACCAGCAAGAACTACCATGTTTCAAACACCCCCACTCAGGTAAAAAGAGGAACTACCATGGTGGGTGGCTTTTGACTAATGCCAAGTTGTAAGAAAGGGTGGTTTGGAGGTCTGCCTCAAGGGTTTTATAAGTCTTCTCAGATAGATGAGCACCATTTGAAGATCAGTGGGATCCATCTTTTTTTAAAAAAAAAAAAAAAACAACAACAAATCAAGTTGATGGAATAGAGAAATGGGAGAAAAGGACAAAAAAGAAGGTTTCATGGAAATTGGAATCATGTTAAAAGTTGTACCAAAAAGTTAATTAAACAGGTAAAAAAAAAACCCCAATTTGATGCCAGATTAAGGTAATTAAATAGAACCCAGTTGGTGTATGAAGTTACTAAATTGCCATTGCTTTTGAAGATATATATAGTGTATACAACTGTCCTTGTTTGGAAAATTTTGGCTTGATCTCTGGATTTATTACAAGATTAGAGGCCAATCCACAAGTTGGCTAGCTGTGAGAAAACAATTTGATGCTAATGATCTTTTTGTTTCAAACAAAAAAGGGCAAGTCCAAAGACCCCATGCACTCTGGAATATAGTGGGGGGGTCGAGGAAGAAAGTTTGCCTCGTAAAAAATTTGATATTATTATAAAAATTACTTTGTTTTTACATACTATTTTTTTTTTAGTTCAATGATCAGGGCTAATTTACGTGCACCTCGATTAATTTTCTCTTCGACCTGATCAAAGATAAACTATTTACGCCGAGACTAGAGTATATTTATGGGAGATAAATCCCTCGTGGTCTAACCTAAAGGGATTGCTAAGATTAATTCGTCTCTCATGGTATGACCTTAATAAATTATTAAAATTCAAATTTAAAATTTTTGAATTTATAATTTATCTTTATTACCACTTCAACTATTTTCAATTTTGTACATACTATTCACCAGCCACCCGGAGCCAGACCCTATTCATTTTCCTAGTAAAGTTTAGTAAATGAACATAACCACATGATAAGAGAGCACTTACCGCCAACCAACATGCATTCCTCTTTCTGAATATTTATGGTTTTTTTTTCTAATGTAATGTGTTAAATAAGTGAGTAAATATTGAGTATAACGATTATACCATGTCAGTGTTATCATGCAGTGCAATCATCCAATAATAAATAAATAAATAAACAAGTGAATCCTATATATATAATAAAATATAATACAATTTAAAATTTAAAAGATAAACAAAATGACTTTTGATTTTCGCGGTTAAAATCTTTTTAAATTTTATTTTAAAGTTAATCCAACGGATAATATTAATACACCAAAATTAATAGAAAAAATAGGTTCATAAGGATGTGTTTGAAGTCACTTTTTAAAAATACTTCTAGAATTTTTAAATTTTTATAAATATTTTAAGAAAAAAAAATAGTATTTAAAACTGTCCCACCATTATAACTACCCCCAACCACCACCACCACCACTCTCGCCATCACACCCTTACCTTAACTTTAACAATCACCACCACTGTTACAACGCCACCACCACTACCACACCTGTCGCTCCACCACCACCACCATTACAACTACCATCATCACTGCTGCTGTTACACTACCACCACCATCACCACTCCCACCACCACCATCACCACTATCACCATTCCTATTGCCCCACCACTACCATCATCACCGCTACCACCACCACCACCACCTCTTTTACAACAATCATCACCACCATCGTCATTGCCACCACCACCCCACAACTATCCTATTACCACTATCCCATCACCGTCTCCCACCATCACCACCAGCACCACTGCCGCTCACCTTCACTATCACCGCTCGCCCCAACTACAAATTAGTCCTTAAATTCTTTTTTTTTTCTGTCCTCTATCTTTATAATTTGATTTTGGATGTAAATATCAATATGTTTATTATTGACATTTTTATTATTATTATGTGCCTTCAAACATAATAAATAACTAATTTTTTAAATATGTGACAATTACTATCATATATGAAAGTGTGATTATTTAAANGAGTATATTTATGGGAGATAAATCCCTCGTGGTCTAACCTAAAGGGATTGCTAAGATTAATTCGTCTCTCATGGTATGACCTTAATAAATTATTAAAATTCAAATTTAAAATTTTTGAATTTATAATTTATCTTTATTACCACTTCAACTATTTTCAATTTTGTACATACTATTCACCAGCCACCCGGAGCCAGACCCTATTCATTTTCCTAGTAAAGTTTAGTAAATGAACATAACCACATGATAAGAGAGCACTTACCGCCAACCAACATACATTCCTCTTTCTGAATAT